TGTCAAACTTTTTAAATGTTCCCTGTAATCATGAAGGGGCATAAAAAGCAGCATTTTAACAAAAATAAATCAAATTATATATATAAAAAAAATCAAAGCATTTACAAGTCCTAAAAACAACTATTTTAACTTTTTTTATTTTAACCTTAGCTTTCATCAAACAATCAGGCGTCAGGGTCAGGGTTAGTCCCGCCCACTGAGTTTGACGACCATGTTAACTGTCATTCTCACTCGTCAAACTCATATCTGTATCGGATTTAAGTTAATGTTCATTCATTCAACCTTTAGACAGGTTAATCCCATTGAGCCTCGAGGACTCATTTACAAGAGAGACCTGATTTCAACAAAAAATGATGACAACAATGGACAACAGTGACAAAAATAGACAGTTATAAAAAGGCATACAGATTTTTTTTTTTTTACAAATAAGATGACAAAAAAAAGTAACAAAAACAGCTCGATTATAAGGTGAATGTAATGTAATGTTTCTGAAATCAGCCCTTAGTTTGAAAAAGGTTTTAATTTTGGCCCCCATTTGTAAGTGAGTTTGACACCCCTGCTCTAAAGAGAAGTGTCCAGGAGGCACCCTAATCAGATACTAGAACCATCTCAAATGACTCCTTTCTGTTCCACTGTTCCCGGATCTACTCTTTGAGCTACCCCCCGCCCCCGTTGACAATTAAGTGCAGCCACACAATGAAGGAAGCTCATTTCAACCTCTTGGATATGGGATCTCATTCTTTTGGTCATGATTTGTACCTCATGACCACAGGTGAGGGTTCAAACAAATTGAGAGCTTTGCCTTTTAACTTAATTCTTTCTTCACAACAACCAACGAAATCAACACCCTCATTAATGAGAATAAGGCTACGATTTGTCGATCCATCATCTATCCCATCAATGTTAGTGTGAAAAAAAAATGCTCCAATCTGAACAGCCAGCTATCAGCATTTATTTGGAATAAAAAACATCCATGGATTGCCTGGAGTATAATATATGATCTGCCCCACAGGCTTGGAAGCACGTCACTTCCTAATTTCATGCACTATTACTGGGCAGCTAATATCAGAGCTCTAATATTCTGGTTGGGTAAGGATGCCCGTTCTCCCAGTTGGGTGGCTTTGGAAAGGGCCTCTTTTAGCTCCAGTTCCCCCTCTGCATTAGTCTGCTCTCAGTTGCCTTTTAAACAATCAGTATCAACCTACACTTCTAACCCAATTGTGATCTGGATGGTTAAGATTTGGAATCAGTTCAGGAGGGTATTTAACTCTACAGAGTTACTGTTTTTGGCACCTGTGTCAAACAATCACGTTTACTTCCTCAGTAGCTGATAACAGCCTTTGACACCTGGGTCTTGAATGGAGTACATTCACTTTATGATCTCTGTCTTCATTATAAATTTGCCTCTTTTGAGCAGCTGGTACAGAAGTTTAATCTTCATAAGTCAAGGTTTTCAAATTGTATTTGTAGCTGAGGCACGTTATGAAATGTAACGCTGATTTATGTATTTTGTACCCCTCTAAACATTTTGTGGTTAAGATTTTGGAATGCAGGTCTGATGCAAGAGCTATACACTGCTCAGTTCATACCACGAGACCAGTTTAGACTCTCTTAAACTGAAATGGGAAACGGACTTGGAGGAATCCATATCAGACTCAATCTGGTGAAAGATCATTAAGAACATTTACTCATCCCCAATGTGTCTGAGACATGCTGTCATTCAGTTCAAGGTGGTGCACCGGCTGCACTGGTCCAAAGACAAGTTGTTCAAGATCAAAGCCAACCTGGACCCCGCATACAATCGTAAACAATCTCCAGCTACAGTCTTGCATACAATCTGAACCTGTCCCAAACTGAGGACCTTTTTGCAATCCATTTTTGACAACTTCTCTGTGATGTGTGGGGAAACTGCATCCATCACTGTTCATCTCACTGTTTGGGGTGGTCCCTGTGGATACGTCCTTCAGCAAGTATGATAAGGATGTGATTGCTTTTGGCTCTTCTGGCCAGGAGACTTGTTCTTGGCAGTTGGAAGGACACACACTCCCTAGCATATGAACATTGGATAAGAGAGGTGATGCATCATATTCATCTGGAAAAAATTAGATATACCCTGAAAGGTTCTGTGGAAAGATTCTGGGACATCCAGCAACCTTTTGTGTCATATGTTGAGGACATGTCAATGCCAGTGTAGAGACATGTGTGTCCCTGTGTCCGTCCGTCTGTGTGTCTGGTCTAGGAGGGGGTGGGGGAGGGGGGTTGTTCTTTGTAATGTTTAAGAAAAAACAAGATATTGGTTAAAAAAAAATAATCTTCAGATTAATATCTACAACTAATAACTTGGATTCAGCACCATTTAAAATAGCTACAGCTAACATAAAAAAACTAAATATGGCTCTAACCCTACATACATAAACTTCAAATTGGTTGTAGTAAAAGCTGAGAGTCATCCTCAGTGCATATTCCAACAGAATGTGCTTTTGTTCAAATCTTTCCATTAACTATGTGAAGTCAACTAAATAGATGAAATATGTAAAGTCAGCAAAATATCCCATGATCTCGCCACAGAATTCCCCCAGATGTCTGTGACTTGTTTGTCTGCATGCATTTGTGGTTGCTGACCTCATCATGTTGAGAAAGGAATAAAAAAAATATTCTGCCATATTCTGATGACTGCAGCGTTTAGCAAGTGTTCCTAATAAACCCAACAAGTCATTTCTTGTTTGAGGAGAACAGCTCATTACTTTCACATCTTCTTTGCATTAATCTTTTCCTTTGTATTTTCACCATGCAGCTACTTTTTATTTGTGAAACTTTGATTTTTCTTTTCACCTCGTTTGATGTTTTATGATTTTTAGAAAAAAAAAAAAATGCAAGTAACTGTTTTGTTCTTCGACATGATAGCATTTTTCTATAACTGGATGCACAAAATGCTATGGCATGGCTCATTGGTCGCAAACGTTCAGATTTCATTGAGACTGCATGGGAAAAAATAATGTCTTTCAATTTTGAGTCTGTCCATTCTTCAACATTTACAGTTCTGTAATACATGTTGCACCTTTTGGAGACCTGATTAAACATGATCACCCTATGCCAAAAATATCAAAGCCACCATTCTCTTTCTCTACAACAGGAACAAAAACAAAGTTGTGAAAACAGCAAAAAAGTGGCTAATATATCTCTAAGATGTGATGCATAGACATCTAATGTCACAAAACGTTACTGTACTTAGTATTCTGACATTTGTTAATTTGGTTCCTTTCAGAGAATTCGGTCAAGGTTTTTAAATGAAAACTGTTTTACTGCAGAGTAAAGCAAAATATTGTGTTTTTTAGGTTTGAGAGATTCTATGCTTGGAATCGTTTGTGAAGTGTGATTATGAATGCATTAAGTGCATCCATAATTGTTACATAAATGCATCACAGCCTTTTAAATTGTGTTTGTGAACTGTTATGTTTCACAAGATTTAATTCAATCCCAATGCTTTCTCATAACCGAGTTTTCCATGTAGTCTTAAGCAGAAGCAGCATTTCTAGTTCACCTGTGTTTCACTTCTATAGGCGAGTCAGCATTTCTGGATAAAACTGTAACGAACCCCTTCTAGTTTGGACCAAAATCACCACACAAAAGAAGAAAATTTAGTATTTATTTTCTAGGAGAGATATTGCAGATTGGACCGGTTCTGGTGCTGGTTCCGGAGCAGGGACAAGTCTATGAGATAGAGATTGGTTAGTCGTCGTGCAAGAGATTATAGAGAGCAGAAAAGTCAAATAAGAAGGACCACTAACCGTCTCAGATGATCCTGGGGGTTCTGGAGAGTAACGAAGTCCAAATTGATTCGGACCGCTGCAGGAGAGGCCGAGTCCGGTGAGGGGCCGCAGCGATAGGTGGGTGGTGAGTCTGTTGAGTGCAGAGACGTGGTCACACAAGCCTGGGTCCAAAACCGGAGAGCAGATGACAGGAGGTACCAGAGGAGAAGACGAGGAGGCGTAGTCGTGCAGGCAAAAGGTCAGAACCGAAGACAGAAGATGTGGTAATCCAAAGGGTCGAGCGAGAGACGATGTCCAGGTAAGTCGTGGGTTCAGGAGCCAGGAGGTCAAGCCAAGAGGGAAGGACAGGAACCAGGAGAGGGACATGACCGAGGAGACAGGTAAACTATGACAAGGGGACATGAAAGGCTAAGGGGGAACAAGGCAGGATGAGTAACGCGAGGTATCTACTTACAGTGAACTGTTCTCAACTACCCGGCACCAAAGTGGAGAAAGAGTGCAGCTTTTAAAGGGTGAGAGAGACAGGTGCAGCCAGTTGAGGTCAATCAGCTGCTGCTGGCTGCAGTAAAGACAAAACTAAACAACCATGACATCACCCTCAACCAGCATGCAAAGAAGACAAACTAAAACTCACATATATAAATGAACATTGCCTGAGCGGACAGAATAAATGAAACTTACAGAAAAGATCTATTGCAAACTTTAAAGGGTGAACAGGGTGACGGAAAATATAATTTATGGGATGTGATTCGTGACAAAAACAACTATATGGTAGGTTGATTTCATGGTTTTTTTTTTTTTATGTTGCACTTATGGAAGAACTTTAATTTCCTTCTCTCCCCTGAAAAGATCAACGTTTTTCTGCTCAGATCTCATCCTTTACTTTATACAAGCATCCGCATCAGTCATTTATCACAGTTTTTTCATCCACAGCAGATAGGAAACAATTCTTTAGAGAAAACAGGAGTGCTGCTTCAGCGTTGATTTTTCTTGGAAGTCAGTTTACCGGTCCCTTATGTGCACACACACACACATACACGCATTTACTGACACAGCTCACCTTTATCACTTCCTTCCTGTCATTCTGTACCTCTACCTCATTTTCTCTACATGCACAGGCATTGTGTGTCTGTGTGAAGCCAGCCTCCTGTCGACATCATCACCAGCAGACTCCTCCTTTGTATTTCCTCGGAGTATAAAGCATCTCCTCTGGGAGCATCCTCCACCCCGTCACAGGTGTTTCACTTCAACAGACAACGGAGCAACAAAGCAGGAGAGTCTTTTTTGAGATCTGAAAGCCTTTTCTAAGCGTTCTCACTTTTATCTCCAGACAAAAAGTCAACATGTCGATGGGTTTGGAGATCATGGGCATTGCCTTTGGGTTCCTTGGATTTATTACAGCAGTAATTGCATGTGCTCTGCCTATGTGGAAGGTGACGGCCTTCATCGGCGCCAACATCATCACTGCCCAGGTCATCTGGGAGGGTCTGTGGATGAACTGTGTCACCCAGAGCACAGGGCAAATGCAGTGCAAGGTGTATGACTCGATGCTGGCTTTACCTCAGGACCTGCAGGCTGCCAGAGCCATGATCATCATCGCTATTATACTTAGCATTCTGGGAGTCCTGATCTCCATCGTCGGAGCCAAGTGCACCAACTGCATCGATGACGAAGCAGCCAAAGCCAAGGTGATGATCATCTCTGGGATCTTCTTCATCCTTGCTGGCGTTTTGGTTCTCATCCCTGTCTGCTGGTCCGCTCACACCATCATTCAGGATTTCTACAATCCATTGCTGATCAATGCTCAGAAAAGGGAGCTAGGAGCATCACTCTACATCGGCTGGGCATCAGCTGCCCTGTTGCTGATCGGAGGGGCCATGCTGTGCAGCCGCTGCCCACCGAAAGAGGAGAAGTACAAGCCGCCACGACTGGCCTACTCTGCCCCACGCAGCGTCAGCGCAGGTGGAGCGTATGACAAACGAGACTATGTTTGAATGGCTCTGAGGTGACGAAGAAATTTAAACGTCGAGCAAATGTCTGCTGAAAATGTGATTCTCTGAATGTTTTGTGTGTTGCTGTCTGATACCAAAGGGTGAACCCCTCTAAAAGACTCCGAGATGAAGACTTTGGACAAATACTAATCTTTATGCTTTGCTTTTGGCTGACATGTTCATTTACAGCCTGTTTCATTAGGAAATCTCTATTTCAAGAAAATGACTGTTTTATTTTATACCTAACTTTGTTTTCAAGGTGTTCATCATCATAACGACTTATGCAATACCACCATAACCTTCTGCTTTTTGCTTGTGTATGTTTTGGTCGGCTGCACGGTGTCGTGTTTCACTGAAACTCTGTAAAACGTGTCACGTCATTGACGATGACAAGGAAGAGCCAGCTCTCCTTTTACATAGATTTGTTTGCTTGATTGTTCAGTGTGTGTCTGTGTGTGCTTTGCATGTAATATTTGCTTAAGAGGGTTTCAGCTGTGACTGAAACTAAAGGTGGATCACTAATATTGTCTCAGGAGACTGTTTCATCATCTTCTTCACAGTTTCACTCTTTGAAAGAGTCAGAAATTGTGTTTTTTTGTTTGTTTTGCCAATGCTTTAAGTTAGACATCTGTTTTAGAGTTTAGATTTTTGTATGTGTTTTTAATGAATTTGAAAATGTTTGAATATTCTCCATGCTTGCGATTGTCTTTTTAAACTTCCATGTGTTGTAGTACAGTAACGTGTATTCTGTGCCTTTATTCAGTTTTTAATATATTTTTTAAATCTTCAATATGGTCCTTCATTTGTCAAACAAAAACCCAACAGACATCTTTAATTTGTTTGTGTCACACCCTGTGGGGGATGGTGACTGGAGTTGTCGTGTTTTCCCAGTTTGCTCCTTAAAAATTTATGTTGGATGCTTTTAGTAATTGTCAGCTGGAATATTGTTTCTGATGGTGTAAAACGAAATTAAATATGTGTCAGATATTTCAATAAAAGTCTTCCTGCTGAAGAGAAAATGTTCAACCGTTTTTACGAGAACAAAAACCTACAGAAGACACGTCACTAAGCTCCAAATGCAAACAAGCATGAGGGCAAATCAAACAGTTCAACAGCATTGTTCATAAAGAGTAGGATGTTTTTTTTTTTATATATAGCCAGCAGCTCAGCTGGATTCATATTTCAGGTTTATTCAGATGTTCTTTACCTTTGGGTGTGGCAGGAAATTAAAAAAAATGCAGAAAAAAATACACAAATCAGCAGAAAAAAGAACAAAGTTTTTGTTAAAGATACAAAACCATTAAAGAAATGGAGATAAATTCAGACGTCTGAGATATGTTCTTTTTTTAACCATAAAACACCTTTATAACTAAAATGAAAATATGTTATAAATGTTTCTGATACTGACTACTTGTAGTATTTTTGAATTTGTAAGACTGTTAAGTCTGTGAACATAATGCATATAGTAAACCCATTTTACACTAAATTACACTTTGAAAGAGTTTGTTCTTATTCATGATTTTTATTCATGTAAAGTAACAAATTATATATTTTTAACTAAAACCCACTAATTAACCGTAAAATTAAAGCACAGAGAATCAAAGCTGCATTTTGTTGTCATGATATTAACCTGAATTGCCCTGAGCTACATATTTTTTTTATTTTCATGAATTATTACACCATACAACATTAAATCAGACGGGTTAGTCAAAATATGTCAATAGTAATTTACTTACCAATGTGTGGAAATTAAAGAAAAACAAAGTTTATATATAATACAATATAATCTATAATGCAAGTTCATCAAAGCGAACTCATACGGGATTGGTTGAGGCACCGGTTAACAACGACCGCCACGGGTGCTGTTGACAAACAGGGTGCCGGCAGAAATTGTTCTACTGTTTGCTGAAGACAGCGAGGAGAGAAACCTGTCAGGAGACAGAAGGATAAGAGGAAAGTCAAGAATGTAGGACTGAGGCTTGCAACTCTAAATGTGGGGCCAATGACAGGCACAGGTAGAGAGCTGGCTGACATGATGCAGAGAAGGAAGGTAGATGTTTTATGTGTCCAAGAGACCAAGTGAAAGGGCAGCAAGGCTTGCAGCATTGGAGCAGGGTTCAAACTGTTTTACCATGGTGTGGATAGAAAGAGAAATGGAGTAGGGGTGGTCCTGAAAGAGAAGTTGGCAATGTATTAGAGGTAAAAAGAGTGTCAGATAGGATGATGTGTCTGAAGGTTGAAGTAGAAGGTTTGATGCTAAATGTTGTCAGTGATTATGTTCCACAGATTGGATGTGACACAGAGGAGAAAGACACATTTTGGAAGGATCTGGTTAGAGTATTCCCAGGGAGGAGACAGTGGTGATTGGAGCAGACCTGAATGGACACGTTGGTGAAGGAAATGGAGGGGATGAGGAAGTGATGGATAGGTTTGGTGTCAAGAAAAGAAACCAGGAAGACAGATGGTGGAGTTTGCCGAGAGAATGGAAATGGCTGTAGTCAATACTTATTTCCAAAAGAGGGAGGAACAAAGAGTGACCTGTAAGAGTGGAGGAAGGAGCAGTATTTTTGAGTATTTTAGGGGCGCCTGTGGCTGAGTGGTTAGAGCAGTCGTCCTCCAATGCAAGAGTTGGGCGTTCAATTCGACCAGCAGTCACATGCCAAAGTGTCCCTGGGCAAGACACTGAACCCCCTCATTGCCTCTGATGTGTGTCCCATCGATGTATGAATGTGGTAAAGCACTGATTAGTCTCTTTAGAATGATTTGTTCAATTAACTTTGTAGAGACTAGTAGAGTGCTGTATGAATGGGTAAATGAGGACACAGATTGTAGTGTAAAGCACTTTGAGTATCTTGATAAGATAGAAAGGAGCTGTATAAGTACAGTCCATTTACATGTCCAGAGGACGGACAGTGGGTATATTGGTAGAAGGATGTTAGAAATGCAGCTGACAGGAAAAAGACAAAGAGGAGATATATGGATGCAGTTAGAGAGGACATGGAGGTAGTTGGAGAGAGGTCAGAGTGAGATGGAGGAGGATGACTCGCTGTGGTGACCCCTGGAGAGGGAAAAGCCGAAAGAAGAAGAAAGTAGAAAGGAAAACAGTGTTTTACCATGTAACGGTCTGTGTTGTCAGAGCCGTGAACAGAATTGAACAAATAGGCCCTCTTTTATTGCATCACAAAACCAAATTCATATAAAATACATACAATATAAAGAGAAATGTATTTCAAGGTTCAAGGTTCTTTATTGTCATTTGCATCACATGTGGTACATGAGGTGGAACGAAACTGTGTATTCAAGGTCCCAGTTCAGTTCAGTCCCAAAAATGGCAAAAATATAACGTATAAAAAGAAACACTATATAAGGATCTAAGATATACATTAAACACTAATAATGTAAAATACATTAGTACGGTATATTAAACAGCAGCCCAAACACGAGTCTGTACTGAGCAGATGGGTATGAATACAGCAGCATAAAGGCAAGAGATCAGCAGCTTTGACATCTCCTAAGTGTTTGTGTGTGTGTGATAATTGTAAAAGTACAGAATAGTATATAGGTTATGCATGAGGCTGCAGGTGTAGCAAACAATATTTCATAAAGAACTGAAAACAGAGCTTTTCAGGTGGGGTACACTCTGGACAGGTTCATCACGGAGCCAACACAGAGACACAAAAACAAACGAAGATCATTCAATATTTTTCAGTCGAAGATCAACAAAAATCACTTTAGTGTTTCTAATTAACCTAAATGTTGATGGGCTTTGTGAGTAAACCCAAAGGAACGGATGATAACTCACTCACACACTGGGAAAACATGCAAACAAAAAGAAAGACCCTAGTTGTGATTTGAGCGCACGACGATCGGTTCATACTTGTAGAATATTTCTACTTGTTACACAATCAGCCTTTTTTTTTGTCAGTTTAGGATTACTTCTTCTTTTCCATTAGCTGGTTCTTGTTTGTGAGAACAATGAGCTCTCACTTCCATTTTTGCATCTAAAAATATGATTGTTCACTACTTGTGTCACGGGCAGCACAGTGGCGCAACTGGTAGAGCTGCTGCCTCTCAGCGAGCAGGTCCCTGGTTCAAAACCCCGGTCCAGGGGCCTTTCTGGGTGGAGTTTGCATGTTCTCTCCGTGCATGCGTGGGTTTTTTCCGGGTACTCCGGTTTCCTCCCACAGACCAAAAACATGCATGTTAGGCTGATTGGTAACTCTAAATTGTCCCTAGGTGTGAGTGAGAAAGTGAATGGTTGTTTGTCTCGTTTGTCTCTATGTGTCCTTGTGATGGACTTGTGACCCGTCCAGGGTGTACCCCGCCCCTCGCACAGTGATTGCTGGACATGGGCACCAGCGACCCCCGTGACCCAAAATGGAACAAGCGGGTAAAGATAATGGATGGATGGATGGACTACTTGTGTCAGTGAAAATCTTTATCTTTTTAAAGAATTTCGTACTTGTGAGGTTCAACGGCTTTGTTGGGATTGAGCATGCAGTTTTAATAGTTTAGATTCATAATAACGATGAAGCCTTAAGTTCTCATAAATAATGAACAAAGGGAAACTTAATCTCATAATTTTACACCTGCAAAGTTAATTTATTTATTATTTGTACTAAAAACAGATGATGCAGACAGACTGTCTGAACTCATCCAGTAAAGTTAATAAAAGAAGTATCTCGTGAGCGGTAAAGTTCTCCATTTTCAAGATACGCTGGGTATAACGGGAGACGAACTCTGGTCTCCGGAATGACGGTCATAACTCCACGGACACACCTTTCAGTATAAATGTGGAGTTTTAATGATTCTTAAAACTGGCAAACACTCGTTTTGCGAGGAATTTTTCTGAGAATTAACTTTGTTCCTGGAAAATACGTTTGAATGCGCACACTCACAGGTATGCAAACGATGAAAACGCATCTGCTTTGGACTGTTGTTGGCAGTTAGAACCAAAAAAGCTACAGTACGTTCAAAAACAAAGTGCTTTCATCTAATCTTAATCTCTTTAGTTCAGACTGAGCCGAATAAAAGCACCTTATCGAAATATAAGTTTCTTGTGTGTGTATTTACATTTTAGTATTATCTTGATAAAATAATATAATATTGTACTTTATCACTGCATTATAAGTATCTACAACTAATATATATAAAAAAAAGTTTACAAATGCTAATTTTGCATCTGAAATGTTTAATATAACAACTCTAGATTAAAGATGTAGGTGGCAGACTTGGCTCATTATTTTGCAAGAAACTGGTCAGTTTTGTCTCTGTCACTCTTAATTAATGCATAATAAACAGTTATTAATTATTTATAATGCGTTTATAGAGGCATTAATAACATATATTTAAACTATTAGCCACCTATAAGGGGAGCCTTATTGTAAAGTGGTACCAATAAAACTCTGACATACTTTGAGTTTAAAATAAAAACATAAATTCATGTTAATGTATGTATTCCCAATACATAGTCCCACATTTAATGGACCTTATTTTACCACCTCTGTGCCTTCTCAACATGACGTTCAACTGTGTGCAGCCGGGATAAATATTTGTGAAGTAAACAGAGTTAGAGGAAGAGAAGCACAACACAATATGGGTAAATAATTTATAGCATTGTCTTCAAATGTCACATTTAAATGTCCACTTCTCTTTCCATCTTTCTCTCATGGAAAGAGAAGTGGACCTTGGTGTTAATTTCACAGGTAGCTGATGCGTTGCAAAGATGATGGTCGAAGTCCAACAGGTTTCCGATTGAGACACAACAAATTTTCAGCACAGGCTATCACTGGCATTTAAACTCCATCGACTGATAAACAGAAAAATTATGTAAACAGATAAACTATCAGCTGTGAAGCATGTGATCAAGTAGCACCACAGAAGATACAAGTAATAAGACAAATGGTAAATGGGCTGTACTTATATAGCACCTTCCTATCTTATCAACTTACGCAAAGCACTTTACACTACAATCTGTGCCCTCATGTATCCATTCATACAGCACTACAAGAGTAATCAGAGCTTTATCACATTCATGAGACA